GCCAGGTCTCGTTACCTCAGCGGTCATTCTTTCCAGGCCAGCCACTTGCGGATGTCCTCTTCGAGATTCAGATGGCCGACTGCATGCAGGACGTACGAGCACGCGTGCTTGACGAGGGCACGCCGTACATGTTACCACGCGCAGAGCAGAGATCCATCACCGCGCTTGTTAATGACGGTACAGACCCCGACCTCCCAGCTGACCTCCCCCTCGTTGACATTTCATATGCCGACGATGGCACAGTTGTGCTCATACTGCCTGCTGAACAGATGTATGATGCGCTTAGTCAGGTGCTGGTTATAGTATCAGAGGCCTTTGCGCGACGTGGACATATCCTCAATATTGGGCCGTCTAAGGCTGCCGCGCTGATCAAATGGCGCGGGCCAGGCACCGAGAACGCGCGACATACACCATGGCACGTGCACGGCGGACGGGTCACGGGACATTCGGATATACTAGGACAGCTCAGTGTGCCGATCGTACACCACTACATACATCTAGGGTCGGTGATCGATGCGAACTCTGCGATGCTGCCCGAAATGCGTTACCGAGCTACCTCGACAGCCTCGTCGCTGCAGGTTCTTCGACGACGTGTTTTTTCGACCGATGACCTAGCCCTACACCACCGACTTGTGCTAGCCGACAGTCTGGTCATGTCAGGGCGACTGTGCAATGCAGGGGCGTGGGGAGTACTAACGACTTCGGAGGCCAAGTTGGCCCATCTGGAAACCATGAAGGTATACCGAGCCGCGGCTCGAGTCCGCTTCCAGGAGCATGATTCTCAGGTGTCCGACGCCCTTGTGCTGGCGAGGCTGCGCAGACCTACCCCCGCCAACACTCTCCGTGCCGCGCGTCTCCGACTACTCGGCTCGCTGTATCATACGGGGCCCCTCCTCGTTTTCTCCCTCGTTGCCGCAGAGTGGCGTGCTGCCTCCGATGCCCCCGCACGCGAGCGCACTACTCTTGGACAGTGGATCCAGGACCTTGCCTGGCTACGATGTGCCGTCAAACAGTGCCAGGACCTACCAGCCCCAGCTGAAGACCTCAAACCCTGGGAAACATTCATACGACGAAGTCAGACAGCCTGGAAGCGCATCATACAAGTGGCGATGCACGCGTACACCCAGTACATTTCCAGGAAAGAGCTTGCTTCCCATATGGAATCCCAGTTTTTTTTTACAGCTGTGAGGCCAGCAGGTGTGCCAGAACGTGTGTATACCGACGAGCACGGGCTAATCGTCCCACCGCCGTCTCCCGTGCAGGCAGCTACCATGGAGTGCCCATGGTGCGGTGAGGTTTTCGCACGACATCGAGCAATGCGCACACATGTCGCCCGTATACACCGACAGATTGCGACACTTGCGCGCGGTTATGCTGCTAGGGACGGTTCATGTGCAGTGTGTCTGTTAAAGTTCAACGCCAGACCCCACCTCGTCGACCACCTGTCGAGTGATTCCCCTCGATGCCTGCTGGGCGGCCTCTTAACTACAGACAACCCAGCACGCCACCTAGACGACACGACTACACCACCTCGACCAATCGGAGCTACACCCCGCATCAAGATTCCCCGCCGACATGTGATCGTACCCATGACGCGGCTACTTGGGCCGCTCACTCAACTGGCTACCGACCTAGCGACGTTGGTTACGCAGGACTACGCCCGCCAGGTTTTACTTGAATCGGACCCCTACCTCACACCTGCCGCCTGCGCGGCACTCATGCCACCTTCCCCTGTCCCACTCCTAGGCGCTCCCCCACCCGCCCAGTGCCCGCCAGTACAGACGGAGCGGTATCCGACGCGTATGTTTCTGACCGAGCAGTATACACATGCAGCTGCTCAGGTTCTGCCGTCAGCGATCCGACGGTCAGAGTACTACATACTAAACCTATACTGTTGGAGACGCCGTCCTGGGGATATTCAGGCTTGCTTAGAAATGGAGGAGTACCATGCCGATTTCGCAGTATATGTACTTTCGATCGATATCGCTATCGATCCCGTTCTTGGCAATATGATGCGTCGTGAATCCCTAGACATTTGGAAGGAACACATTCGGGCCAAACGTGTTGTGCTGTCAGGAGGAGGGCCCCCGTGCGAAACATGGGCTGCCATACGCTGGGCCCTTGACAAGGGCCCCCCACCACTACGTTCCCACGACGATTTCTGGGGCCTGCTATCGGTTACGCCGCGCCAGATGGAACAGTTACGTGTGGGCAATGAGCTCCTTGGAGCCATGATTGAGCTTTTCGCCGAACATTTGATTGTGGGCACTTGCTGCTGGATGGAGCATCCCATGCCAGCCGACTGGAGACAGGCAGCTGTGAGTTCTTTCTTTTGCCCCCCCCCCCTACGGGCCATCATGGCCTCCCCAGCCGCGACCGTGACAGACTTCGACCAATGCGAACACGGCCAGGTTGCTCGAGCTCCCACCCGTATTCTGGCGCTGCGGATGGAAACCCTTTCTGGTAGGCTTCTGGAGACCCCAGGTCGTGGAAGATGTTCTCACGGACGGGGGGCCCACGAGGTACTCATGGGGTTCGATCGGGCCCGAGACGAGTGGCGTACTGCCAAGAAGAAGACATACCCTCCCGCTCTATGTCGAGTATTGGCCGACGGTATCACAGACGCGATCAACCATATGTGTGTGACGTGTGACGACGATACACTGCCAGAGGACATGAGGGAGGAGGAGGAGGAGTTTCGTGGGTCCCTGTCAGCCTTTTATGTAGCATGGGACCCATATCTCGGTACTGACGAGTCTTGGGCGCCCGATTTTGTCGATTCTCGGTCCCGGAAGGTGCGTGCCGACCCAGAGCGCCACAGGTTCCTCCCCCCCGAATCGCCAGCCACCGAGTTTGCAGATGCAGGCGTTGTGTATGATTCCACTGCGGAGCCGCGGGACCCCGGCCCGATCGAGGCCTCAGAGGAACAGGAATATGCAGATGTGCTTGCTTTCCTGGATGGCATTGAGTTGCCACCACCTGGCTCGCTTGCTCCGCCCCTTGTACCCGTTTCCCAATCTCCGTGCCCCCCGCCGCCCCCACAGCCCGTTGAGCTCACACCAGAATTGCGTACCCTAATTGCTGCCAAGCGTGCGCAAGCTAGAGAGCGACGTCGGATTCGACTCGCTCAGCGAATAGCCCCATGGACTTTCCAACCCGGTTTCGGGGTAGGGCTGTTTGATAATGCGCACGAGTAAACAGGATGTTGGGTGGAGGGCCTCAGGTGTAGGTTGTGGATGGGTAAGGGATTGCTTTCTCAGTCGGGCACTTTGTCAGCCCTGGCCTTGCTCTCACAACTGTTTCGTCTTTCGAGCCTTGCGTTACCTCTTTTATTTCACCTTACTAGAAGCTCACAGACACCCGCGCCACGCACACGGCACTTGGGTGGACCACCGTCTTGGGTGGTGACAGGCTAGCAGGCTGACAGTGGGGTACTTGTGCGGCCGTGCTCTGATCTCTCCGCCTATGTTGCCAGTGTTTCGAGCTTTGCGAAGACCTTGCCTTGTGGCTGGTGCTATGGTTAATGCGTGCCCTCCTCGTTTGGATAGCCCCGTGGTGGTATACAGATAACCCCCAGCTCATCCGTCAGTTTCGAGCTGAGCTGGAATCACGTCCGCTGAATGAGCTTGCATTCCATAGCCGTCTGACCTCCAGAGTTGCGCCGCAGTAGGCCTAACTTTCGTGTGGATCAGTTTTGCTGCAGACAGCCTCTCTTGGACCATGGATGTGTGTCTGTAGGTCGGGCAGCGGAGGTTTTAGCAGCGAGGCAGTGTAGCAACAGTCAGAGAGAGCGGCAGCCCGCCTCTCTTGCTCTCTCGTGTGCACGCCTGCCCGCATGTGCTGTCCCGCCCTCTTGCCCACTCTCTCTCTGAGAATAAATTTCAGACAGTGCGTAACAGGTTTCATTGAAAGCAGTTGACGTGCGCAACTGTCGCCAGCTCGAGCGTCAGAGTGGTCGGCCGAACCGAGGGTCGAACCCTGAGGGGAGGGGGCCATAGTGGGCGCTCCGAAAGGAACTCGCGAAGCCCCCGCCCCACAGCGGCGCTCGCCGAGGTAAAGTCGTTGAGTGCAGCTGTTTTGAGAGCTGACAGCGGTCGAGGAGATCGCAACATGTATTCGGGAGGGGGTGGGGTATGTCAGGTTGGGCGGACGTGCTGAGTTCAGAGAGGCATGTGCCTGCCTCTCTTGCTTCTTTCCGCCGCCGCCTGCTTGCCACCCGCTCGCCTGCTCTCCCTCCACCGTCAACCTGGGCAGAGGTGCGCCCCCTCGCGTTTCTGTCACCGCCCGACTGTCAAGCGTCAAGCCTTGGCCCGTGGGGGGCAGCGGCAGGGGGCTCGGTGAGCGTAGTCCGTCGCTAACCACACACCCGTTGCGTGTGGCGCCGAACCCCCGTGTGTCCTGTCCGTCGGTCCGCGCGTCGCCAGCCAGGCGCTCATGCGGCTGCACGCCGCAGCCCCCGCCTGCCGCCAGCCTTTCTTGCTTTTGTCTTGCCGATAAGGATGGGTGTGGGAGTGGCTGGTAGTATTGAGGAGGGGTTAAGTCAGCGAGTGCATCTCTGTGAAGCGTGTTGTCCTGGTGCTGCCAGGGTTGCGCCGAGAGCAACCGTGCAGGATTGCCCACCCTGGCCGCCGCCACTTCCTGGCCACGGTTGAAAGTTTCAATCCTTTGCCGCCTAGTACCAGACGCTCTGCGTCCACATTGCTGCCTCGCACCCAGTTGTGCGCGTAGTTAATACTATGGGACTGGGTGGGATTCATGGGATTTGGCAGGTTGGGTGGAGGAAGTTACTGTCTGACTTGACTTCAGGTGCCCGTGCAGAGTTTGCGAGCTTCGCCTCTTAGTACAGCCACACGAGTTGACTGTGCTGACTGCCTCTGCTAGCCGCAGCGCCGCCATTAGCTGACAGGCCATACGCTTCATCAGCAGCGCAATCCAAAATCCCTCCCCCCCCTTCTCCTCCCCCGCCTCCCTCCCCTGCCCTCCCCTTCGTCCGACGGCAGGCGCCCAATGCGATGGGCCTCTCGTCGCTCGCGAAGTCCATGACGAGCCGCAGGCCGGGGCCCGCCCCCTTGGGAAGGGGTTTCTTCTCTCACTCCATCCCTTCAATTCCTCCTTTACTCCCTACCTCCCTCCCTCCCTCCCTCCCTCCCTCCCGCCCTCCCTCCTTCCCTCCCCTCTCTCTCCCGCTCTCCCTCTCTCCCTCTCCCTCTCTCCCTCCCTCCCCCCCTTCCGTGCTCTTTCTGTTCTCATCCTGCTCGTCCTGCTCTTCCTGCTTCCTTCTCCTCCCTCCTCCCTCCCTGCCTCCTTCTTCCCCCCTCCTCCCCACCTCTTCCTGCTCGCCCCTCCCTCTTTTCTCCTCCCTCCTGATGCCGGAGGCGCATGGGCCTGGAACCCTGGAAAGGTTTGGGCATGTTGGAGGCTGTGGTGCGGTGGGTGTACAAAAAGTGCCCATGCCCATCGCGCCAAGGCAACACAACGGCGAAGTGCATCCAACAAATCGATCGCCCCCCTCCCCTCAGCCCAACGTTGACAGCGGTGCACGCGAGGCAACGCGCGACGGACAAATCTGGACCCTTCAACTTTGGCTTTTGCGGGGAGTGGGTTGGGACATACGTCGTGCAAGATGTTATCCAACATCATGTGACCTGGTCTTCGTGCCATTGTTGTGGACACTTTTTGTCCTGTCACCGTCCCAGGTAAATATGTTTAATGGCCTCGTGGGTGCCAACATGCATGCGCGTGTACATGCAATTCAATGTGCGTTTGTGCGTGCGCATGGGTTCACCAATACACACAATCATTTGTCTATGTACGCGCATGCGGATCCATTTGGTACCCGCGGGACCACGGGGCAACCCAGGGGACAATCCCAAGGATAACCGTGGAACGACCAACGGGACAGCCCACGGGGCAATCGCGGGACAACCCACGGGGCAGCCCGCGGGACAACCCACAGGAACGCTACAACCCGAGCTCGACGGGCCCGAGCCAGAGGCCGAACCCGATCCTGAGTGCGCGCGCGCTTCCGATATGTCTGCGACCGCACGAATCACCACTAACAATATTCACCCAACTGAGTTCGAAACGACGGTTTCGCTCAAGATTTTCTCAAAAAACAATTTTGAGCGATTTCGACATTTTCGGGTTCGATTTCGAAATGCGCTCCCGCCCAAGAATTCCTCCAAACTAGAATTCGAAACCTTTCTGGCTCGATTTCGAAATGGCGCTCCCGCCCAGTACTTCCTCGACTAAAGAAGTCGGCACTGCTTCAGCTTGATTTCGAAATTTCGCTCTCGCCCAAGACTTCCTCCGAAACAGATTTCGGAGCCTTTAGGGTTCGATTTCGAAATTTCGCTGTCGCCCAGGACTTCCTGAAGACCGGAATTCGAAACCCTTCTGGTTTGGTTTCGAACTGGTGCTTCCGCCCAGTCCTTCCTCGACAAAACAAGTTGGCACTTCTTCATCTTGGTTTCGAAACGGCGCTCCCGCCCGGGATTCCTTCCAACACAGAATTCGAAACCTGTCGGTCTCGACGTCGAAATGGCGTTCCCGCCCAAGAACTCCTCCAAACTGAAATTAGAAACCCATCTGGTTCGATTTTGAGATGGCGCTCCCGCCCAGGGGCCAGTTAGGTGAATCTTTTGCTAGTGACATGTTTGACGGACTGTAGGTGAGTTCGTGGCTGGGGCGCGGGCCACTCGCGGTTCCGATAGGTATGACTCGTAATATCACTGGTGCATTACTCGTGTGATATGATAAGGCGGACAGATTGCGCGTCGCATTTCGCAAGACTGATCTACATGTTTTAATGTTTCAGCGAATTCTGCGATTACTGTCCCCAGTCCTATTCTCTCGCGAGTAGCGTACGGGTACCATCGCTAGTTATAATGAGCCGCTTGAGTTTCCACACTGCGCGCCCCGCGCGAGACGACATTCACAGTAAAAACAGCGCGCGTCAACTTCAGAACCAACTGCGCAGGTCTTGCAAATACGTAGTTATTTCAGCAGTCGAATGCCAGCACGACGCCGCATGGGTCTGCTTCAGCCAGCGCGGAGATGCGCTTGCGCATCACTTCGCAGCCAGCTGATTATCCTACCGCGTCTTGCTTCGTCTTGTTTGGACCGAAGACCCTTTCCCGAAAGCAAGCTTCCTTGGAAAGGTTCCCTCGGTCCATTCCGAGCTGGGTTGGGCAGGGCTAGGCTGGATTGGTCTGGGCCTCCCGTCCCCCCCCTGCCTTCTTCCCCCCCCCTTGCTTCTTCGGGCCTCCTCCTCCTCCTCCTCCTCCTCCTCCTCCTCCTCCTCCCCCTCCCCCCTCCCTCCTCCTTCCCCTCCCCCCCTCCCTCCTTCCCCTCCCCTTCTCCTCTCGCTCATTGTTGAGCCGGGAGGGCTTGGGCCGAGGCTGGCAATGGGCTGGGCCGGGCTCGCACTCTCTGCTCGCCGGCCCCGCCCGCAGGCACAAGGAGGCGATGAGGAACGGCTTCTCCGCCGACTACGCCCGCTTCCAGGGCGGCGCGGAGGCCGCCCAGGCGCTGCAGGCCACGCCCCGCGCCGAGCTCGCGGGCTGCGCCACGATGGCGATGGCGATGATGCTGGTGATCATGATGATGCTGATGATGATGATGATGAGGATGATGATGAGGATGAGGATCAGGATGATGATGAGGATAATAATGAGGATGATGATGATGAGGATGATGATGAGGATGATGATGAGGCCGAGGATGATGATGATGAGGCCGATGATGATGATGATGATGATGATGGTGGTGGTGGTGATGATGATGATGATGGTGGCGATGCTGATTATGATGATGATGATGATGCTTATGATTGTGGCGGTGGTGCTAGTGAGAATGATGCTGATGCTGTTGGTGATGCGGATGCTGATGATGACCATGACGATGACGATGACGATGTCAATGCTGGTGATCCTTATGATGACGATTATGATGATGATGCGCTGTTGCTGCTGATGATGGCGATGATTATGATGGTGGTGGTGGTGAGGATTATGATGATGATGATGACGATGATGATGCTGAAGATGATGACGATGATGACGATGATGATGATGCGGATGATGATGATGATGATGATGATGATGATGATGATGATGATGATGCTGATGATGACGATGATGATGATGATGATGATGATGATGATGATGATGTTGAGAATGATGATGACGACGATGATGATGATGCTTATGATGATGGGGATGCTGATGATGATGCTTATGATGATGATGACGGTGTTGATGATGATGATGATGATGATGATGATGAGGAGGAGGAGGAGGAGGAGGAGGATGATGATGATGATGATGATGATGATGATGATGATGATGATGGTGACCATGGCAATGATGATGATGCTGATGCTGATGCTGCTGATGATGATGATGATGATGCTTATGATGATGAGGATTCTGATGATGCTGAGGATGCTGATGATGATGATGATGATGGTGGCGGTGCTGATTATGCTCATGATGATGATGCTTATGATGGTGGCGGTGGTGATAGTGAGGATGATGCTGATGCTGATGGTGATGAGGATGCTGATGATGACCATGACGATGACGATCACGATGACGATGACAATGCTGATAATGATGATGATGATGATGCTGATGATGGTGATGATGGTGATGATGGGTGATGATGATGACTCTGATGATGACGATGATGGTGGTGGTGATGATGATGCTTATGATGATGACGATGGCGATGATGATGATGATGATGATGATGATGATGATGATGCTGCTGCTGCTGTTGATGCTGGCGATTATTATGATGGTGGTGGTGGTGGTGAGGATGATGCTGATGATGCTGATAATGCTGCTGATGATGCTGCTGATGATGATGATGCTGACGATGAGGTTGATGATGATTATGATGATTGTGATGATGATGAGGATGAACATGATGCTGATGATGCTGATGATGCTTTTGCTACTGATGATGATGCTGATGATGCTGCTGCTGCTGATGATGATGATGATGATGATGATGCTGATGGTGATGATCACGGCGTTGCCGCCAGTGCCCGCGGCTCGCGAGCTGCTGCCTTTTTCTGACCGGTAAGTTTTTTTCAGAATTGGTTGACGCGCGTAAGCCTCGTAGCTGGGCGTGTATTCGTTCTTAGCACCTCCTGCCCCGCTCTGCCGACACGTCTGGTGATGCTGAGAGGAGGAATTGTCCCAAAGGGGGATGGATGGATGGATGAATTGATGGATGGATGGATGGAGGGAGGAAGGAGGAGAGAGGAGGGAGAAGGGAGGAGGGAGGAGGGCGGAGGGAGAAGGGAGGAGGGGGGAGAGAGGAGGGAGGAGGGAGGAGGGAGGAGGGAGGAGGGAGGAGGGAGGAGGGAGGAGGGAGGAAGGAGGAAGGAGGAGGGATTGGATTGCGCGGCTGATGAAGCACAGTGCCTGTCAGCAATAAAGAGCAGCGCGACGCTGGCAGAATATTAGCAGGCGCTAAAAAGTTCTGCACGGGCGCTAAGTTAAACAGCCACGACCAGGTCAGGGCAGTTATGCAATATAGAGAGCAGCAGGGCCGTCCTGCTGGTGCTGGTTGCTGCCAACTCCCTGGGGACTGGTCAAGTAAGGGTGAGCAGTGAAAACTACAAAGGGAGGAGACGAGAGTAGTCGTGCAAAGTATCTGCAAGCTCGCTCGTGTGATATCACGCCAGGCACGAGTGTCGAAATCGTGTCGGAGCTTGCAGTGACCAGAGCACACCCACTTACAGTGTGAACTGCGAGTCAGAGCAACTAGAAACCAGAAACGCAGAGAGTGGGACCCACACCTGTGAGATGACTGGCTGGGGCATCTGACAACACTGATCATACACAGGAGTCTCATTCCTGGGCCAAGAGCTGAGCCGGCTGCACTCGAGCTGGGACGTAGGGAGGATGCCAAGCGGGGAGCTGGGATCCCCTCCGAGGGCGGCCCTTACGATGGCATCTGCATGCACGTGCGGCACAACAAGGGACTGGCCTACCGTATCCAACGACTGGCAAGTACAGCTCTGTCATCGGAGACTGCCCGATACCGAGAAAGAGAGAAGCGGACAAATCAGCAAGGAAGGAGGAGGGAGAGGAGGGAGGAGGAGGGAGGAGGAGGGAGGGATGGAGGGAAGGAGGGACGGAACGAGGGAGGGAGCGAGGGAGGGAGGGAGGGAGGGGAGGGAGGAGGAGGAGGAGGAGGAGGAGGGGAGGAGGAGGAGGAGGAGGAGAGGAGGAATGTGAGGAGGAGGAGGAGGAGGAGGAGGAGGAAGAGGAGGAGCAGGAGGTGGAGGAGGAGGAGGAGGAGGAGGAGGAGGAGGAGGAGGACGTGGACAAGGAGGAGGAGGAGGAGAAGGATGAGGAGTAGGAGGAGGAGGAGGAGGGATGAGGAGGAGGAGGAGGATGAGGAGGAGCAGGACGACAAGTGTAAACCGAAGAGTGACCAACGATGTTGTAATAAACCCTTACTCCAAGCTCCCCCCTCCTGGGCCCTCACAGCGGTACATTTTCATTGAGGGAACTGCCTCGCTGGAAGACAACCGTTTGCAGACCCTGAAGCATGCCAAAACATTGTTCTCGGGATTCCAACGCTACATATGCACTTGGCTGTTGCGTCTTGACGATCCAGAATCATGCCAGAACGCCGTTCCTGGGACTTCAACACAGCGAATCAACGTAACTGTTGCGCCCACATACTCCTGAATCCTTCCAGAACACCGCTTCTGGTACGTTAGCAATGGGAATCCATGAAGCCCTCGCAAATTGTAAAAACGAATGTGCGCGGCGCGAAGGCGAGAGCCACATGTTGAAAACGAACCGCCCTCAATCCGCGAAGCTCTTGCAACTTTTACAAACGAATGTGCGCAGCGCTCAGGCGAGAGCCACATTTTGAAAACCACCCGCCTTCAATCAGTGAAACTCTTGTTATTGTTTAAAGCGAATGTGCGCCGCGCTAAGGCGAGAGCCACATGTTGAAAACCACCCGCCCTCAAGCAGTGGACCTCTTGCAGTTGTTTAAAGCGAGTGTGCGCCGCGCTGAGGCGAGAGTCACATCTTGAAAATGACCCACCCTTCATCTGTGAAGTTGTTGCCAATTTCCGAGTTCCAGAGTCATAAGTTGTGAGGAAGTCTCAGGCAAAACGTCCGGTTCGCCCTGCCTCGGGGTGCGACAGGGGGAGGTTCTCTGTAGGGAAAGGAATGGAGGAGGAGGAGGAGGAGGAGGAGTAATGATAAAAATATTAATAAGTAGAAGCAGGAGAAAACGACCAAGACTCATAATAATACAACGAATAATACGAAAGAGAAGCATTTTACGAATATGATCAATAATGATAGTATTAATGAGACGAAGACGATTAATAGTAATAATAATAATAATAAGATTCGGAATCATAAGAGTAATAGTACAAATAATAAGACGACGAAGACGAATACTAATGATAATGAAAAATCATAATTGGAGTTGAGGGGGTGAGATCGAAGTGGAACGCAGAGCCCCCCAACCGGGAAATCGGTTTCGGTTTCGTGTTCGTGCGTGCCGTGCGTGCGGGCGAGGCGAAGCTGCGTGGGCGGGCGAGAGGTGTCCCGCCTCTGGCTGAGGCGCGGCCGGACCAAGTGCTTCCTGTCCAGGGGCCGGTGGCGCGCGGTGTCCCGCCAGTGTCCCGCCGGGGTCCCGTCGGTGTCCCGATGATGATGATGATGATGGATATGTTAATGATGATGATGATGGCCATGGTGGTGATGATGATGGTGTCCTGATGATGATGATGACGATGTTGATGATGCTGATGTTTTTGATGATGATGGTGGCCCGATTATGATGATGATGTTGGTGATCCTGATGATGTTGATGATGATGATGAAGATGATGATGGTGTCCCGATGGTGATGATGAGGTTGATGATGATGATGTTGATGATGATGATAACGATGATGGTGTCCCGATTGTGATGATGATGTTGATGATGAAGGTTGATGATGAGGTGATGATGATGATTCTGAAGATGGTGGCTCGATGATGATGGTGCTGCTGTTGGTGATGATGATGATGATGGTGTCCCGATGATCATGGTGATGGTGATGATGAGGATGGTGACGATGATGATGGTGTCCCGATGACGATGGTGATGATGTTGCTGATGATGATTATGGCGTCCTTGTGATGATGATGATGGCCATGGTGGTGATGATGGTGTCCCGATGATGATGCTGTTGATGATGCTGATGTTGCTGATGTCCCGATGATGGTGGTGTTGATGGTCGTGATGATGTTGATGATGGTCGATATGATGGTATGATGACGAATATGATGATGCAAGTGTCCCGATGACGATGATGAGGTTGACGATGATGCTGTTGATGATGATGATGGTGGTGATGATCGTGCCCCGACGATGATGATGATGTCGATGATGATGACGATGATGGTGTCCCGATGGTGATGATGATGCTGATGATGAAGATGATGATGAGGTAGCTATGATGGTTTTGATGGTGGTGGCCCTATGATGATGATGATGCTGATAT